GGTAATGGGGTATGATTTGACATCCAGCGGAGTATAATTCAGGAAAGCAGACTCCAGCATCTGAATAAACACATCACCTATGAAAAGACACATGCATGAAATCTAAATTCATCAGCACTCTTGATGGTGGTAGACTAACACACGCAAACTATATATTTATAAACATTTAATATAGCATATCAGCGAAACTGATTTTATAAAATTAAGCATCAATCTTATTGCTGTAGAGTTCCTCTACAGAAGTTTAGCTTTAGGGTTCTAGTTTTAAATTTTTCATAAATAGAGAGATCTCCATTAGGTCCTGTAGCTATATTGAAATATCTGATAACAATTAACACATAAAGAGAAAGGGTTTATTTTGGGTTCACTGTTTTGGAAATTCTAGTCCACAATTAATTGACCCAAAATCTTTGGGGCTATGGCAAGACAGCATATTATGGTGACAGCACATTACGGTGAGAGGTTATCATGGAATGAAATCACTCAACTCATCAGCTAGGAAACAAAGAAAAGAAAGAGGATCAGGAAAGTCCTTTCATCCCACACTTCCCCACGTAACCCATCCACAAAATATTTACATCACTTTCTAAAAGTACCACTCATCCTGAGGTTGCATGCACATTTATGAGACAACGTCTAAACTTTAGTAGTTCACATTCAGTTTCTTCATTTAAATCTGACTTCCAATACAATAGTAATCATGTTAGATATTTATTTTTTATTTAAAGAAAATATTTGTTCAGCAGGGAAAACACCATGATCACAAAGGTGGTTTCTACAAGGCAAGGCTCCTACATTACACTGCACATGTGCAGATCTCTGGGATTTCTCCAAATACAGAAAACACAGTAGTAGCAAAATGTATGGTACTGAGGGGCTGTGTTTGCACTCAGCCCAGTTTTTTAAAAAAAGAAAACATTTGTTAATCATTTTTCAAAATGTAAGATTTACTGTTAAAATAATATTCCATAAAGCCACTCAAGAAAGTACTGTTAGTAAATACTATTAGTATTTAGAAAATATTTTCATACATTCCTTATCAAGTCAAATTTACTGTTGGTTCTTCAAAAATAATGTGATTTTTGAACATACATCCTTTTCATATACCCTCTGAATATGAAATATTACATGTATGTAATACAAATATTTTATGCTATGATAATCACAATATTTATTATAGAAATCAAATTTTAAAACTGCAAATCAGCTTGAATATTTACATATGTTATAGGAATGAATCAAAGGAAAAATTTAGTTTAAATGGTATTTGAATTCTATTTCATATAAACAAAAATAAATACTAATTATCCTTATTTTATCCGGACACAATTTTCTTAAGCTGGATACAAACACTCATTTAATCTTTATTTTCAGTATTGGAGATGAAAGAGAATAATTTTTGGTGACCTTAAATGTGTTCAAATGTCATGTTTTGCCACAATAAGCACAATGAGGTCCCCCAGTTTGAAGGTCATTATTTCCTTCTCACTCACCATGAGTCTCTTAAAGTCTTGTTTGTTTAATCAATGAAAGATTTTTTTCAGGCTTTTGGGTTTAATGTCTTTATAATGATAAATATCTAGTCTTCAGTTTGACTGCCTACCTATTACATATTATATATATATATCAGTTTGTTCAGGTTCACTGTACAAGCATTAGAATAGGAAGAGAAAATAAAAATATGTCAAAGAAAATGAGGAAAATACATCAACGTATGCCTACATAGGTGCATTGATTCAGCATTAAATTTAGTTCCTGGCATCTTGGCAAGATAAAAATGGAAACATGACAGATTATTCAGTTGTCATGATCTGATAAAAGCAATATATCAATTCTTCAAGTGAGATCATTTTTTTCCTGGTACTAAGTCATGCAACCAATACATCAATTTAATAGACAATATATTATTAAGTAGAATTTTTGAGTCATATCATGATGGCTTCCTGAGCAGATCTATCTGGTGGAATCAAGGTCACATTGAACTGGTTAATGACTTATTCAATCACTGGGGTAAAAGAGGAATCCTTTAGTTTAAGAATATGTGTTTATAAGTGGTTATTTAAATAAAAGTGAACACATTCAGTATTAGTAATAAAACTGAGATTTAATCTACAAAGTGGCCTTCTTCAAGTATTTGATAAAACACATTTAGAATGACAACCCCTTGTCCCTAACTTATTTTCCTTTCTGGAGTTGTTTATAATCTGTAATCTGCATAACCTTTCACACTTATAAAAGACTCATGAAGGAATACATGTTAGTCAAACACTCTAGGGTGTGGGGATAAGAAAATTTGACATTTCAGTTCTCAGTTACAAAGCTTGAATTGCTTATTCCCGTGTGTTGACATTCCACTTCAATGGCCCTGCATCTGCTCAAATTGCAGCTTTGGTGCTGAACTCCAGAAAATTCTAGCCAAGTGAAAATGTTACAGGGTCTTTCTTTATGCAAAAAAATGGATATCTTATAATAAAGAATGTTACAATGCGTGTGTGTCAATTTAATTTACCCAAAATGGCTCAAATCTGGATCTATAAAACAGAAACATGAGAAATAGACTCTCAGTTATGTAATTTTTGCTCAAGTTTAATAAAGCAGTTGATAAGTTCAAACTTAAAAAAAAAAAGTTAACTGGCTGGTGAAGAATAAAAACAGAATTTTTTTTCTCACAGTTCTGGAGGCTGGAAAGGTAAAGATCAAGTACCAGGCAGTATCAGATCAGGGCCCACTTCTTTGCGAGCAGCATCTTCTCATTGTGTTCTTATATAGTGGGGGGACCTGGGATAGAGCTACCAGTATTTCATCCATATTAAGAGCAAGTAAGAGCGTGCCAAGTACACTACATGTTTCTTATCACAACCAATTCCAAGAGACAACTTTCCTTGAAGTTCCAGCCTCAACCCACGGAGGATCTCACGCGGGCTTCATTGGAGATGACGTGACATTATTATGCTTCCAGCTATTTCAATTTTATTTCTAAGCAGGGAGAATACTCAAGAAAGTGACAATCTTGACATTCCAAATGCACTCTTTACTACAAACTTCACCTAGCTGTCTTCTTTCCTGAATGTTTCATTCACACACACACACACACACACACACACACACACACACTTACACAGCATGTGTGTGCATGCTTTTTCATAACTACATGAATATGTATATATGATACATATTTGAGTGTATATGTAATACTCTATCAGAATGAATAGCTCTAAACAGCAATTTCCCCAGTATTTTCGTAGTGTTCAGATACACAGATAAATGTAGCTGTCATTTCTCTCTCTTAAGATTACTTGGTGTAAACTGGTTATTTGAGTGTATCAGCTTCAGTCATCCTTAATCCTCCAAAGATAACATTCAGAGAATGAAATAAAATGGAAAAGCTAATCCCTCTTTCTTTCCCATGTGTGAGCAGGAATATCAGCCTTGATAGCATATTAGTGAGTGCCACATGCTCATACTAAAACATCATAGATTGGATTTAGCACAAACATATATTTTTTCCAATCTGTACAAACACTTGCTGAATCTCTGTTTCCCAGGCGTGTCCTGTCACAGTGCTTTGGCTTCTTCATTCCCTGTTGGCACAGCCAACTCCAAGAGTTTGCACCTGTCACTTGGAATTGTGTATTAGCAAGTTCCACCACCATTCGCAGAAACTGGAACTTGATCATATTGCTGCATTTCTTAACTGATTCCAAAGAAATATTTTACGTTGCTTTAAGCTACTTGGTTTTCACTGACTTATAGACACTGCTATCAGCAATTCCTAAGACCTTACTATAAACTTCACACCTTTGAGCACATGTCTTTGTGGCATGTAATCTTCTTTAGGGTTGGACTTTTACAATTCAACATCATAGCTGTGAAAATTTTGAATTAGTTAGGCTTACCTATTTTTTCATATTTCATGTGTTTTTGGTGAACCAAAGAATAACTGTCTTTCAGAAAATGTTAGCTGACTTATGTCTAAGAAATACTATTCAACCAAGTTTTATCATTTCAGCATAATCATAAAAAATTTGAGTTCAAGCATCCAGTTGACTGTTGTACCAGAACTTTTACCTAGTCAATGTACCTTGAAGAGAGAGATAGATTCCAAAATCTTGACTGGATTTAGTAGAAATAAATTTACATTATTTGCAGCCATCTATCTGCCTATTATTTTGAAAAAATGAAAAATGTGAAGAAAAAGTTGAGTCATGTATAAAATAAAAAAGTAAGTATATTCTCTGGTGAAAGGTGAAGGATACATTCATCCTATGTGTAGAGGTTGTACTGACAATATGTCACTTAGAATTAAGCATCTCAGAGACACTTATTCTCTAGTTTAACCATTTCTGGAACTCTCTAATAGTCTACATCTGTTGCAAAAAGTAGTTTCTTTTATGAGGGCTGAAAGGAACACTTGTCTGTAGTATGAGTATGCATATTTAGAATACAGTAAGAAATTATATTTGTCTAAGGATATGACAATGTAAATTTTTCTCTAGGATGTATGACCTATCCAGCCACATGTATTTTGCTATGTTTATATTAAGACACATGAGTTCCTTCCCACTAATCAGGCCTTAATTCAAATTAGACAGCTATTGACTACTCCCAAGATAAAAATCCCATATTTAACTTTTGATTACTATTCGATCATCTTGCCCTTTCAGAGCATCCATTGTATTTAGCAACAGCCACTCGACTTCACAGTTTTTTATGTCAATTTTCATCCTCTATCTCTACATGGAGGAAAATTTCTCTAATGTGCGTAATCCCAATGGTGCACGAATCCAACTTACCACCACTGGAGGCTTTGACAGCATAGCTACCTAGTGCAATACTAATGTTGGAATCTTCTATAGTCATCCTTTAACAGTTATGGGGGCCCTGTGAGCTAAGAGGTGATTAAGCTCCTGAACACAAGCCACTCATCATGGTGCCAAATACTGAAGGTTGGTTTCCCTGGGAAACAAGATCCAAGAACAATAATATGGAAGAATTTTACTGTAGTGTGCTTGACCACTTTTTAAAAAGTGCTGAAATGAGACATATCCGAAAGAGAAAGCAGTCATAATTCAGTACAAAGACACCTCCTAATCTGTAAGAAGCTCCGAAGCTCTGAGGGTCCTTTAGCACTGCCTTGCTTATCAGAAGACCAGACAGGGCATCATATTTCTCTGTCTATTTTTATGGATTTCAGGTTGCCATTAGGAAGAAGAAATTACCTGGAGCTAAGCAGATGTTTCCAGCATGGGGCAATATAATAAAAGAACTGCCTGCCATTGGAGAGAAAGTGGTCAATGATATTCTGAGAAGCTGGAAGAATATTACATCTTTTATTCTTGAAGGAAAGTCTACATGGCACATCACAAAGTTCACTCAGGGAATTTTGAAGGTAGTCACTAGCCTCTAGTACGTGCAGCCACATTCAAAAGATGTGGAATACAGCACACCAGGAACTGTGGCAGATGGACTTGGAAGCCTCGGGCAATGCTTCAGGCTTCCTGCATCATTCCAGGGACCCGAAATTACTTCAGCATTCTGGATAAGAGCCACAGACCTTCTGCACAGGATGGTAGGTTACAAAGCTCTGTTCAATATTTAGCAGCACAGGAAGTGCCACTATAATGCCTTTTAGTACTAATTACTCAAAGTTAGGCCGAACTCATCAGGTTAAGAGGGAAGTTCTCCAATTGACTATCCTCACTTCAGAGGCCAGCCACAAGCTAAAGGGTACTAGAGCCATACTCACTTCTACTCAATTGGCTAGATTCTCATTATACATTTGGGTTTCATAATTAATTAAAATGACTCATAAAACTCAGGAGAATGCCATACTTTTAATTCTGGTTTTATTGTAGCAAAGAGGCTGCAAATACAAACAGCCCAAGAAAAGACCTAAAGA